AAAAAAAACCTGTTTTTGAATGAAAAACGATTCTTTCGTCCTTTGCACTTCTGCAATCCATCTAAATTGAAACAGCAGTGCTATACCTGTAATTGTTGAGAAAAATCAATTTTCAACCCAAAACAATGTGATGCTCGCAAAAGTTATGAACATTTTCTTCCTACCACTTATAATACAAGATAAGTTACGAGGGGGAGGAGTCTATGCCTTCTGTGATTTCATACATAGTGGGTAAGAGTGAACAAAAATAGATTTTTCACTTCTCGTCTAATTGTGTCAAATTTAGGTGACGAAGTAAAATGGTCTCATTACCTAACTCAGGAACGTTTCCACGAACAGATTGCACAGAACCCCGCACAGGTAAGGAATTAAACATTTCAGGTTTTGTTTTGACATTCATTAGAGGAAACCACATGTGTTTCGCGAGCATTAGTATCAAGATTGTTGGTATGAGCGGCCTTGAGCCTCGCTTTCGCAAGGACGCCGGCCGACAGTGAAAAACAACATCTTCAGTGTTTTACTAAAACAGTTTTTAGCAGCTCATAGACCTTAAAATTCTATCCTCAACTTGGTTACTGTAATTTCAGCCATCTACACGGAAACCACGGGGATCTAAATGCAGAGCTCCGACCTTGGCATTGCCTGGTGAAGAGCTGTGCCTTGTTTGTGGTGACAAGGCATCAGGTTATCACTACAATGCACTGACTTGCGAAGGATGTAAAGGTAGAGATGTAACTCAAGAACCACATAATTAACTTTCTATCGGAAATCTATCTTTTTGCTTGCGTTCTTTAAACATGTAATGGAAAAGCATTATGTCACTTTCTTTGTCAACTTTTCTCGGTTTTCAAAATTGCACGGCATGCGAAAAATATTTTTCTCAGTTCATGAAAAGCACGTTGAGTTTAGTAAGGACTGAGGTCCGATGGTTGAGTTGGCCCAGATGTTCCTACATATTAGATTAATCCCTTTGAAACACTACACACATTTTCTGGTAGTTGCCTGTGGTATTAGCAGACCAAAATCTATATGATCAATTTTAATAATGGTGATATTTGAAGTACAGCATTCATTCGGAGATGTTTAGAATACCCTAACATTCTTATAAGATAAGAAAGTTGAGAAGCGCATAAAACGCAAAATCATTTGAAGGCAGTGAAACCACGACTTTGAACTCGTGCCGGCTGAAAAATTTGTTAGTCATTGAAAAGACGCTTGCTGTCCTACCGAATAGCTTGCATGAAAGTAAGAACCAAAAGGTGACGTCACCGCAGTTGGTAAATGGAACATGCGTAAGATAATTAAGAAATTTTGATTGTTGATCTCTTTTGATGGTAAATCAGCTGACATTAGTCTTTGCAGTCATCTACTTTTACCAGACAAATTAAATATCCTACTGATAAGCACGACTAACTTTGCAAACGAATCGATCATTTAAACGTAACGCTTTAACGTCTGGGTCATCGAATTGAGATAGCTCTGTGCTCCCAAATAAAAAATATCACAACTATTGAAGCAAGATATGGACCTAATATTCCTAGGGGAGAGCGTTGTCAACGCGCGAAGACATCATGTCAGTTCAAAACTAAGCTGAATTAGTTAACAACTTCTTAGTCCTTATATAACGCGAGAAAGGTAAACGGATTCTTGAGTAAGAAGTTAATTTCAAAAAAAAACCAAATTCCTGTATTCTGTCATATCATTGCTCTTCCCCTTGAAAATTGTTTGCAAATCGATATTAAAGATTTAATTTATTGGTAAGCAAGAGAGGTTTACGAACTTCAGTCGATTATGAAATATTAACATTTATAGTTAGAACAAATTTATTGCATGGATTTCCTTTGGACATTTTAGACCATAATATTCCTTTTAGAGGATTTCTTGCAATATCATGGTTATCCCCGACAAATGAATGTCATCCAGCTTTTAACTAAGGATTTCAGACCTTTGCCAGACTATGATCTCTTATAA